TGCATAAATTTTTGTTGTGAGGTGATGGAAATATCCCCAAAATAGATAGTGGTGATTTTGCACAACCTTGTGACTACATTAAAAACTGGTAAATTTATACTTGAAAATAGTTAAATTTATACTATGCAAGTTATATCGTGATCAAAAAGACATCTATGATAATTTTCATAGTGGCATTACTTGTTATAACGCAAAGCAACCCAAATGTTTATATAAAAGAGTAAATGATTTGTCATACAGTCACCCAACAATAATATGACAATAACAGTAAGCACAGTACTACAAAACTCAGTGGTATGACATTAATCTCATTAAAATATGCTGAGTAAAAGTATGTGACACAAGGATTCATGCTTTATGAATCCATTTGAATAAAGTTTAAGGTTATCAAGATTAATCTTTAGAGTTTAGCTAAATGAATATCCCTCATCAATATGTTGATTTGCTCCCTTTTATTGTCTATACTTTTTTAGTTCTGTACTGCTGTTGTGTGTGCACTTCATAAGCCAATACATAATAAAAGATTCAGTGAGAAGCACTGATTTGCTACTGAATATTCTTCCCTATCTCATACCTCAAGCTTTTAAGACTTGAAACTTACTTTATTCTTTTTATTATGCAACAGAGCTTCTTTCAAATGGTCCTTCTAGAATAAGATCTGATATCCAACAAATAAATATACCCATCCTATATCCTAAAATATGAAAAAGCAGAAATATGGAGGGAAATGAGCTGTTACTTAAAATAATATTTTTTAAAAACATAAATATTTGAAGGTGATCCATCTCAGCTTTTCCAAGAAACTCACTCTTCTTTTCTCTGTAACGCTTTTATATGTGATCTAATTTTGAAAAAAGTATCACAGTTTTTGTAGGTTAACATTCTATAGGGAGATTTCCTGTCCCTTGAGAGGAAAAAAAAAAGAAAGAAAAAAAGAAAAATACTTTCAATTTGAAAAGAAGATTATGTATATATTTTGATTTGGCTCCCAAATTCTAGACTGCCTATATGAGCCCAAATCTATGTTGGGCATCAATATTTAATCTAGTCTGGCTTTGGATGGCTTCTAATATTAGCAACTCCAGAAGCCTAAGTAAGAATACCAAGATCTTGCCCAAACACCTTGTATCACCACAAGAGTCCCTAGAGAGAAGTACAAAAGAAACATTAGAACTTTAGACTGATCGAAAAGAAGTACTTAGTCATATCCATATAATGTTCAATAAAATAAATTTTAGACTATTAAAAACCATGGATAAAAACTGTGGCTTAGATCTCGAAACCTAAAAATGTTCTATCACTTCCTGAACATAACTCGGAATTTCATGCTTTTATATAGTTACCTCTATAGTGAAAGAAATCTGAAAGAGACAGAACTTTTCAGGCCATATATTGGGTTAACAGTCCAGTCACATGTATTGAGAAAAAGAAAAGAGCAGGTAATTATTTGTAATAACTTTGTCAACTGGTAAATAAGGATTGATTAATGAGCCAGCTACTAATCAAAAAAATGACTTACGTTGCCTGTCTTGGGAGTGGAGGAGTTTTATTTTGCTTCTCTAATAAGTGCTATGCTGGCAAAGTAGAGAGGGAAACGGGAGTACTGAAAATTTGAAAGACTCTGCTTGAAAATAGTATTTAAGCTGGAAATTGAAAGATAAGCAGAAAAAGATAAGCAAGAATCAGATTAAGATTAAGGGAGTATTCCAGGCACTGGGAACAGTTTAAACATCTCATATATTGTAGATACTGGGATGAGAGGGTTCCTTCTACAGTAGTTCACACTTTTTCTGGCACTTGCATCTTGATTTTTCCTTGAAAAACAATCTACCTTTCTTGGTCAAGGATATTTTTGGTCAATGTTTGAATATGTCACCTCACGCTAGCTAATCAGTAAATCTCATTACCTTGGCTACAGTGATTGGTTTAGAAAAAGAATGTCACATAAACAGAAACAATAAAACTTGCACTGAGAATTCTGGAACAAAACTCTATTCCTGGCTACCTATACGTACTATATATATATATATATATATATATATATATATATATATATATGGCAATTAAATCCTTTTACCATATTTGTTTTTTCATAAACCAGTTGCAAGATTTTTCCAACATTACAATACACAGCATTCTATCTGTTAAAAGGTTAAAACTTTTGGTGAGGCAGGAATTATCCTGACACTTTTAAGAGTTGAAACAAGACCAATTAATTTCCAGTACATTGACCAAGGGAAATATAAGCACAAGAAAAGTTCAAAGAATACACAAGGACCAGAGAACGCAAGGTCTCCTAGACCACAGTAAAGATTTATACCTAATTTTAAGAGTAATGAAAGGCCAGGGAAGGCTTTTAAGCAGAAGAATGATATGATCGAATGTGCATTTACCAATATCTTTTGGGGTAAAATAAAAACAAATATTAAAAGTTGGATGACCACATAATTTCAGAACTGATGGTCTTTTAACAATTGCAATCTATACAATATAAATGTCATTTGTATATGAACTATATGTAAAATATTAGTGACTAGTGTGGTGAATAATGCTAGGTTTCTAATGCTTCCGATGGCAATTCAGTAAAATGTATCAAAATAATCTAGTTAAATTTTAAGATTTGGCTTGCATTCAAATTGAGGTATTTATTTGATTAACAAAGATTTGCTGGCATTACTATTATAAAGGCTTACTTTAACTTCAAGGAACTAGTATTGGCAACATATGAAAACTTGTGGTACATACGTATACTACTAGCACATGTACAAAGAAAAAATAAAATGTAAATCAAAATTGTGATGCCCTACATAACATCAGATATGGTTCTCTATAATAAGAAAATTCCACTGGAGATACTGATTTTAAAAACAAACAAAAAATAAATTACGACTAATATTCACTGAATGCAAAAAATAGTAATATCTGCCATGTCAGTGACATTGCCTTTGCAACTCAGATGTGCTATTAGTGTTTGGCGGAACTTCAAAATAGAGATTTTTAAAATATCTAAGGAGATGTAGATATAAATGGGTTAACAAAATCTGATGGAATATCATTTTACAAATTATGAATCTCTCTCAGAAGTTAAGGTGTTTTCTCTACTACAGGTAAGAATGCCACTAAGAAGATAAATTTCCTTCTCATTTGGATTCAATTGTTTCATTCAGGGCAACTGCAATTTAGTTAAGAGCATTCTGTGAACTCAAAAATACGACATGACCATGAGACAAAACTAACACAGAATTATACATATTTCCTCTGGGCAAACGTGCAAAATAAGCTGACTTTAATTCAAAGGCAAATGTATGTGTAACTCAGACTTGATTACACATATACTTGAGATATATGTGTGTGTGCGTACGTGTATATATATATATATATATATATATATATACACACACACACGCACGTGCACACAGACACACACACACACACACACACACACATATGCTTCTCTATATATGTCAAAAGTATCCTGAGGTCATTTAATTTGCTCTATTTTTTGAAGTGCAGATTTTTTAAAATTATATTTTTCTTCTATTATTATATCCATATTTCCAAATGTACTATGAATAACCCAATTCTAAGCACTTGGCAGGTTAGTTGAATTTAACAACAAATTCAGAAGTGCCTTTGAAATAATTGATTATTCCTCATTAAAACTTGATATATGTTAGTGTTTTCATTTCAATTGTGAGCCCATGATTATGAGTAACTTAAAAAGGAAATAACAGTTCATACAGAAATTGGCCTTGCAAACCTGTAATACAAGTATCTTCACTAAAAAACACAAGCTATTTTCAGTTCATTCTTAAGAGAACTGATATTTGGAAAATCAGAAATACATTATAATAAATAAAAATCATTTTCAAACATGCCTTCACCTTTGAAATATCAAGATTTTATTTGACATTTTCTCAGTGGATATATAAAAATATTGAGAACATGAAAATAACAACATTAAATCACTTTAGAATTTTTATTTCTAAAAACTATAAATTCCTATTTGAAATTTAAAAGAAAAAATGTTAAAAGAATACTTTTCTTGAAATGGCTGTACATGTAAGCAGGCAACTACACAGCAGATGTGGCAGTATGTGTTGAGAAAAAGGCAAAAGTAGAAACAGTGGCTCCAGGCATAACTACCTACATCAGCTTTTACTGGAATGCTTATCAGAAAAGTTAAGGTTCTACTTATTTATTAAGGCACTTGGGCACAAAAGATTTATTAGTCTTTAAAGAATGAATCTCTATTTCAAATAAGATAACTTGCTATTACAAAGCACCAAAAAAATGAGAATGAACACAATTTAAATAAAGAAATCCATAGATCGTATATTTTTGTAAACTTAGTCATTTCTTACAGTAAATGCTAGAAATAAGCACTGTCTACTAAGAAGGCAATTATTGTGTTATTAAGCCATAGCTATATTCATCTACACATCTGATGTTATATACTATTAACTCCTTATATACATAAGAGAACTCAGTTTCCTGATATTATCTTGAAAATATATGTAAGCATTATCAAATATTGTTCAAATATTTGAACAGTTTTACAGATTTGCTTTTTCAAAATAAGATGAGGACTAGATTATCCAGAATAAGAAGTCAAGGCCAGGCATGCTTAATATATTTTCCAGTCTTCTTGTCTGGTAAATTTTTTAAGAACTCTCTGCTTCCGATATATATTTTGGTAAATACTTAACTAGTTTAAGAATTTATGTGAAACTCATATGCCAACTCTAATTCATTGGCTATCTGAATCAAGTATTTATCAAAATATATGCTATTAAAGATGGAAAAGCATAATATTTTTAAAAGATTTACTATAAGTCTTATATGATACTCTTTATGAACAAAAATTTTAGTTCAAAGCATTGAGAATATGAAATTCTGAAAGTTATAAGTACAATACAGATGAATTCTGTGGGTGTATATATATTTGTGTGAATATACATATTTAAAGTGTTCAAAATATTTTGAAGCATGACATCAAAAATTTTGGAATAAGCTTCAAAACTATAAAGAAAGTAAAATACCAGGGAAAAAGTCTAAAATGTTGTCATAATATTCAAAGAAATCTAAAAATCCATGTAAATAAAAAACTAACAGGAAAATAATTATGATCATGAGACATTAACTCATAAGAATGAAAATACAAACAATCACTAAGTACAGAAATGCTGTTTAACTTTTGTAATTTAAAAAAGTGAAATAAAGCAGTGATGAAATAGTTTGCTTTACATATATCATGTTGAATTGACCAACTGCTTAAACAAAACCTCTTGTTTCCTGGAGCATAAGGAAATAGGCATTCTCCTACAATGACAATGTAAGTGCCAGAGGTTTTCTGGACAGCATTTAAGCAATATTTATCAAAATTATTTTTTAAAATTGATTCTATTTTAACCATTAATTCCATTTCTAAAAAACCTTTTCTTAAGAAAATAGATATATTTGCATATATGAGTTTGCAAGAATGTTAATCTCCAAGTTATTTATGATAGAGGAAGAAAGAATAAAGGAATAAATAATCTAACAACATATAAGTTCATCAAAAAGAAATTAGTTATATTTTGGTAAAGTCATTGAACAAAACATAAAAGTCACTCAGATTATAAGGAAATAATTACTGTGAGTATTAAGGTGGACCATAGCACATTGTCTAACTAAGACAGCAATTTCAAACAATATTTATAATATTATCCAATTTTTCTTAAATTACGTAGGTGTATATATGTGAAGGGATGAAAAAATTGGAAAAATATGCAACAAATTGTAATAGAGAATTGGTTGGCATAATACAATTATATGCTACGTCTTTTAATTTTTTTGTTGTCCATTTTTTTTCACTAAAAGAATTTTATTTTAAAAAATGTGCAAAGAATATAGATATAATTTCTATAAAAATAAAATGTAACAAGCTTTTCTCATTCATAAGCTGAAGTATTGCCAAAAACATTTTACTATTTATTTAATATTAGTAATATATGAAATAGAATATTTGAATAATAGAAATAAGAAATGACTAAGCCAGGTAAAAATATGAAAACATTAACAACAAAATCATTTGCTAGATAGCTTTGGTATGAATCAGAATTTGTAAAGCAATTATTTAAGTGTAAATATGTAACTCTTGCCTCAATTTCCAAATGGATTTGAAGCAGCATATTTTGAAAACCAATTAAAAAAAAAATCTTTAAAAAGTATTTTAAAAAGCTGAGTAATATAGATGAAAGGCAGGAGAGAAAGGAAAATAGGGGAATGGTTCTAAACTAAAAATTATGCTAGAAAACAGAATAAGTGATGTAACTTCAATTTATCAGAAAATTAGTGAGTTTCTGAACAATCAAAGCTAAAAGTAAACCTTATGGGTTACATAGCTGCCACAGTCTAATAAAAGATGTGAGTTGATAAAAATAGAGGAACTTACTTTTCTGAAACCTAAGAGAATATCACTACACAAAATAATATAAAAGAGATTTTAAACGTTTATAAACAGAATTTCTACAATCTGCATATATGATTTTCATATTAGTATCTGGTAAAAATTTAAGGCGTAATATTATGCTATATACGTATGAAGAGATTTAAGACAACAACAACTTTGGATCACCTGAGATGATACAGATTTACAACTTAAGGAATGTAGAAGTTAAGGTTTTACAGTGCAAGTTACAATTTAGATTAACTAGTAAGTACCTGAATTATAGTCAACTAATGGAAAGAATAACAAAACACATAAAGCTGATTTTTAGGCAGCATTAAAAAACCTCCATCATCTTAATTTAAACCATCAGAAAAACAAACATGTCAGGATATAAATTTAAAAGAATTTCAACTATATCTGAGTACTTTAACCATTAATTCAAAATCAAATTAGATCTTTAAATTTGTATTATAAATTTCTAAAAGTTTGATGTCTCAAAACTTGAAGGAAAAATTAGAAAATTTCTGTTGGTAAAAATACTTTGGAATCTTAAGGTATAAGAACTATTTTGAGCATATTTTCATAGAAGAAATTAAAGCTAGTAATATTACTAAAGTAATAGACATTCAAATAATTACCTCTGGTTCAAATACAATAAAAACATATCTATTTATACTTATTGCTATGAACACTGTATCAAAATAAGAAAAATTATACAATATTGAAATCAGAAAATGTGTCTTTGTAAAACGAACTAAGCTTCATTAATTTTTCCACAAAGATAAATGGCTTTGTATATTAAAAAAAAACCTTTTATCACAGAGTTTACTAAACTAAGCACCCATCATGTGCAATATTAAATTTACTGAGGTCAGTTCAGACAGAGATCACTATCATTCCCCACCTGCTGCAGATTTGAGCTGGGAAGGTACTTTTTTTTTTTCCTAGTGTCTCTGGGCCAAGGCAATGCTAAGAGGTTTGGAGCCCAAGATGCGGCCATTCATCTCAGTCATTGCTTTAAGAGCATCCTCAGGAGAGGAGAAGCAGATCAAGCCGAACCCTTTGCTCTGCCCCTCTTCCTGCATTACCTTAACTCTGCTAATTGATCCAAATGAAGAGAATTCCTTTCGTAGTTTTTCATCATCAATGGTGTCATCAAGATTCTTAACATAGAGCTTTACCACCTGGCACCCACGAATTCGTTCGTTTTTCAGCTGCTCAAACATTTGCTTTAACTCAGCCTGTCGCTCAACTTTCTTCTGCGCCCGGGCTACAAAAATGAGCTGCCCATTTATGTCCCTTCCATTCATTTCTTCGACAGCCTTCTTGGCAGCCTCATGGCTATCGAAACTCACAAAGCCAAAGCCTTTGGATTTCCCACTGGAATCTGTCATCACTTTAACACTCAGAGTTTTGCCATATTTGCTGAAAACGTCCTTCAATCTCTCATCATCCATGTCACCTCCAAAGTTTTTGATGTAAACATTGGTGAATTCACTGGCTTTGCTTCTGAGTTCAGCTTCGCGATCTTGACGGCTTTTGAATCTGCCAACGAACACCTTGCAGCCCTGGAGCAGTTTTCCATTCATCTCCTCAATGGCCCTGTCTGCAGCACTCTGGTTCTGAAAGTGCACAAACGCATAGCCCTTGGAGCCTTGATCATCACTCATCACCTTGGAGGAAAGGATCCTTCCAAAAGCTGAAAAATGTTCATAAAGGGTTTTGTTATCAATAGATTTGTCCAGATTCTTGATGAACACGTTCCCAATTCCGGATCTCCTCAAGTAGGCATCGCGCTGAGACCACATGAGACGGATGGATTTGCCTTGTATGACGTCAAAGTTCATGGTGTCCAGCGCCTTCTGGGCATCAGCCAGATGCAGGAAGTTCACGTAGGCATAGCCCAGAGAGCGGCGGGTAAGCTGGTCCCTGCAGATGCGGATGGACAGCACGGGCCCCGCCGCGCTGAACTTCCTGAACAGCAGGTCCTCCGTGACATCCGCGTGCAAGTCACCCACATACAGGGAGGCCATGCGGTACTTGGCTTCTACGTCCATCTCCTCGTCCTGGCCGCTGTGGGCCTGCTCCCTGGCGCTCGCGGAGCACTCCCCGTGAGGGGACACGAGGCCACGGCTCTGGCCCGGCTGGAGCGCGGGGGCCTCCGGGGTCGCCGCACAGAGGCCAGGCAGCGGAGCTCAGGTACCACGCCTCCGGCTCAGGCAGCGCCCTCCTCAGAAAGACCCCACAGCAAACAGTCTGGCTCTCCCTGGGAGGTGGCAATAGAAGTGAAATCGAAAAGAGAGATGATTAGGACAAGAGGTCACTTCCCCTCCGACTTGTGAGAAAACTCCAAGTGGCGGGCTGGCCCTCCATCTGAGCATTCTGCACAGACGCCCTGGCCGCCGATTTCCGAACAAAAACAGGCCTCGCTGGGAGTGGTGTAAAGTTACCGCCGCTCAGGGAAGAACTCCGCGAGTTCTCCACAAGGCGCCAGAGGCCCAGCCGCGGAGTCTGCGCGGCGAGATGCCGCCCGGCCGAGACCCGAACCCGCCCGGTACCGGGTTCTGCAGGCGCCGCCGCCGAGGCGCTGCCGGGAGCCACGCGGGCCGCGGGCGTCCTGAAGACCCGGGGGGCCCCTCCGACCTCCCGACCCGCGCGGCGCCCGGAGGAAGGAGGCATGGGGGAAGGGGAGGCGGACAGACCGACGGACGGACGGCCGGCCCGACGCGCCCGGGCCGGGCGGGGACGGGGGCTCACCCAGGCTGCAGTCGTCTGCGGGCCGGCGGGCGGGCGGGAAGCCCGGAACTCGCGCGCTGAACTTCCCGCGCACTCGCTGCCAAGTGGGAAGTTTTCTTCTTAATATTTTTTTTTTTTTTTTTTGAGAACGTTTTTCTTCCCCCCGCCCCTGTCACTTGTTTCCCTCCCACCTCGGAGGGCTAAGCTGAGGAGAAGCAGGAGGCGGTGATTTGGGTGGAGAAACGCAGCCTAGGGGAGTGGCCCCAATAAACCCACCCGCCGGCAGGGCTTTGCTTGGGTCTGAGTGGAGCCTTTCCAAATGTGGATCAGGGCCTGTCACTTCCTGGCTTCAAACCCTCCAGTGGCTTCCTTAGACTTTTGGATAAGGTCCAATGTCCGCACCTTGTTCTATAAAGTTCTGCAGGATTCCTGAAATGTTCCAGCCTCAACTGCTGCTTAGTTCCCCTTACAAAACTCCAAGACACACTAGCCTTTTATAGAATCAACTTTATAAAAATGTGTTCTTCAGAAATGACTTTAAATATTCTTTCTTAAGAGAAGTGTTTTCTAAACCCCTTCTGACAATTTAGGTTTCCCTCTTACAAGCTCTTATACTACCCTGCACTTGCCTGGCCTTTGTCTAATTACAAAATATTGCATTTTGCGTAAGAGTAGAAGCCATGTGCACTTTATTCTCAGGGACTTGCAGACACAGGATGCACAATACTTATTGAACAAATCTTAGCTTCACGTTAGTTTTCACATCTGCCTACATGGAGGCAGTGGCACTTACCTTAGAGAGTATTTTAAGTGGGAAATGAAACAATGAAATCTATTAACTACTAGATTTGGAAATGTATAACACATCAGACACATGTGGGTTTCCAGTAATATTGATTTCATTTTCTTTAGCATTAAATAAAACTCCTTGTTATCATTCTACCAAATCCTTAAAATGTGAATCACAATGCATCTTAGGGTGTCAATAAGTTACTGATGATTCTGTTAAAGAGCCCCAGAACCTATGAAATCAACCTGTGGTCTCAGTAGTACTTGTTTACAGAAACAACAGCCAGTAACAACAAACAAGCCAGAAGAAAAGAACTCAGCTTGGCAGTGCTACTCAGACAGACCTGAATCCTCACTTCCTTATCATATTAAAATTTCTGCCCAGTGGGGAGAGATGCCCTTTGCTAGCCACATATAGTGAGTGCCCAGTGCAAAAGAAAGAACAAGACTGCACACATTTCCGTTTTCTCTGGAAAGCTCCACCTCTTTCCAGGAATTCCTACCCTTAGTCTCTACCTACCTGCTCTGAGAGACCTTAAAAATCTCCCTTCTCCATACCTCTGGGAAGAACCTGAATGGGACACTAAGTTTCTGCTCTGCTTAACAGAACCTTGTCGCCTTCTATTGGCTCAATGGCAAGAGGCAGTAAAATATTCATGTTAACTTACATATAAACTTGTTTTTCTCTTGTTTTTGTTTGTAATTTTTTTTAGGCAGGATCCCACTCTGTTAGCCAAGCTGAATGCAGTGGTGCAAACAGGGTTCTTTGCACCATGAACTTCATGGGCTCAAGCAATTCCTCCACCTCCGCCTCTCTTATAGTTGGAACAACAGGCACATGCCACCATCAAGTATTTAACAAAATTACATTAGTATATCATGTAGCTTTCAAATATCTATGGAGAGTTCCCTGAAGTGAGGCAACCCTTTGGTGATTTTTTTCAGCAGTGACTTATTTATGTGAAACCTGTATACAATTATCCCTATAATGGGAGTCATACAATTTGAAATGGTAATATGAAATTTGCTCCTAATTTTGTCTGAAGTAATCAGTAACACTATTTTGTCCCTGGAAGATATTCAGGCCTCCCTTCACTGTCCAAAGTTTTTATTGAAGAAAGAATTACCCTAGACTTTGTGTTTGCAAATCAAGACAGTTTCTGTGCAATCTCACATATACCTACTGCACTTGGATTGGTGTCTCAGGCCAGGTGGAAAGGTCAATACAGAAAAAAAGAAGAAGAAATTCATTATTCATCTCTGGTAGACCCTGATGCTTTAAAGGAGTTGTTGAGTTGGTTGGGTCTAGAACTCTAATATACAAGGTTTACAGTGATACCCTGGTTTACCTCATCCTGTTACTTGAGGTCCTATTGATAGTAGCCTATCAACAATAAATATGGGACAAATCAAGCAGCCTCAATTTCCTCCCTGGCTCTGTTGCTTAAAATGGCCAACAAAGTGGTATACTCATGGGAAAATTTGCCCAAATACAAGATAACATAGAAATAAGAGGTGGATATTAATAGGAAAAAATTTTCCATGGTTCTTTTGTTTCTGTATGATTTATGAGCAGAATCACTGACTGTCATTTTTTTCAGACTCTCTTTTCTAAGTCTTTTTCATGGTAAACAACCAAGGAAAATTGACAGTGTCTCCAGCTAAAGAAAGAGTAAGCATTCATACTATTCCTTAAAAAAGATCTGTGATCCCCAAACTTAGATTTCCCTCCTTTAATGCAAACTACCAAATATATAGGTGTCATCTGGCTTTCTTCACATGGCATTGTGCTTGAGGAAATGGCACAAGAAAATGCTTATGTTGTTGTAAGTGATGAAGTTCTTTGACTCTGTCTCAGAAGTCTCATGTCTCCTAGCAGCATCCATGAAAGTGGCATACTAACTTGGTAGTTTGTAAGTAGGGTAAAAACATCAAAGTCTTCACAGTTGTTGACATTGAACAAATAAATGAATTAAGAATAATCTCTCATGCTTACAGCAGAACTCTCATGACTTTGAAAGAAGACTACATTTATTTTACTGGTATTATTTTCTCTTTTATCTGCACATCCTCATACTAAGCAGTACTCCTATATCCCTATTCCCAGTTATGGAAGTAGTAATGGACTTAAGATTTTATCAATAACACAGGAAGCTGCCTGATGTGTCACCTTTCTTTGATCCCTCTTTCTTTTGTAAGTTCCCCATGTCAAAGTTTCAGTAGGTTTCTTTAGCTTCCTTGGTTGCTACTGCTCTTAGCAAAATTATCTTTAGTTTGGCAGTGAAATTAAAAACAAATTGGATTTAGAGAACATTCTTGGTGTTTTCTACTTCATCGAAAACTTACATTTTAGCATCAAATATGATGTTTAGCCTGTCCACAACAACCTAAAAGAAAGCCTTGAAAGTCTCCATAATATTCTTGTTTTGCAGTATCTGGAACACTTCATTTCAGTCTGTAAACCCAAGTATCTGCTAATATGCCCTACAAAAATTCTGGACATTTGCAATCTGATGATATAAAAGAATGTCTAGCTAGCTTATCCTATTGCCATCTTAACAGTGATAGTAAATGAACCCTTGGTGAATAGGGTAAAATACAGGGTTGACTGGAATCCTTCCAGGCTCTATCATTGCCTACATGTCACTTGTCTCTTTTCCCAGGAATGAGACATTGGAATGTCTTTAATGTCTGTAGTCTTAGCATTACTCATCATGGGCTCCCTCTCCTAATATGTCATGTAGAAAGTTTGCTGTATGGCTCATTCTAATAAACTTAAACTAAAAGGTACAGTCTTGGCTGGCTTTCTAGTTAGAAAATCTAGTTAGAAAATCCCTTTTTAAAATACACATAATTACAGCTGTCCTAGTGCTAAGATATTTGCTTTTTTAGATTCTTCTTTCCTAAAGTCAGGGATCACACATTCTAAGGCTGAATGTATACCTTAGCCTTAGAATGTATGATTCTAAGGCTATTACTGTAATAGTTTATAACAATAGTAAGTAGATTCAGGGCAATCACTTACTGTATCGGAGTTAAACAATCCCAAAGGAGAGACCTGATAAATACCAGCCTGCCTTTATATCATACAAAGTTCTGCAACCATGTGCAAATCTAGTACGTTACCAGAAAAAAAAAATGCAGTCTTGTCTATAACCAATCATAATACCTTTCAAGACACATGGAGTCAGTCTCAGATGGAAAGCTAGAAGTTCTTTCTGACTGATCTCTCTCTCTTATTCCATATCTATCTTTATTTCTTCAGAATCCCCGGTTTATCCTGTACAACTGTTCATTTTCAGGGCCAGAAAAACCTGTTGTGCCTGGATCCTGATCTTCCTTCAGGAGGAACACATGTAAAACAAAACAATTTTTTATGCTAATGTTGATTTACTCTTAAAATTATAATATTTTTTAGACCAACACAATGTTTCTTCATTGTTAAAGACTCCACCCTACCAGGGGTGAGGATGGGAAGAATAAAATCCTAAAGTGATATAGAATCTGGGCCAACCACACAGTCATTTGGATAATGATTGATGATGGCCTGAATTAAGGCAGTAGCAATGGGAATTAAAATAACTGGGTTGTATATGTAAGAGTTCAAACTTGTATGTAACTTGAAGTTATCATTTGTTTCCTAAAATCACCCTGCTAAAGTTATAGTATTTAACTAATAAGAGTAACTACCTAATGACCATCATCTATGTCCCAAACACTGTAATATAAAGTATTAAACACAAGTACTCATACAATACCGACTATTAAAACAGTATTATACTGTTATATCAGCTTTACATAGTGATGCCTACTCATTTCTGGCAACAATCTTAAAGTGGATATTTTAGTCTAATTGTTTTTGATTTGGACATCAGACTCAGAAGCTTTAACTTGTCCAAGTAATCAGAATATTTTTAAAAAAACAGTGAGTATTTTAGTCTCTGTCTCTCTAATTTTCAAAGTCATGCTTTCTTACTCATGCTTTTCTTTATACTGGAGTCACTTTAAGAATAACTTTGATGTCTCAGTGAACATGTCTTTCTATTTTTTAACAATATCTAAACTCCCTAAGCAGACATTTTTACGACAAAGCCAATATAAACAAAGTTTCAAGTAATTTTCATAGTTTCTGCCATTATTCTGATTCGTATTCCCACTTGTTGACTCAATGCAGTTGTCATTTACAATGCCCTGTATTTATTCTTTATACCTGTAGTCTCAATATTTCTCTAATTTATCTTCCTCTTATATCTTGACAACCCATCTCTCCCTCCCCTCAGATAGCTAATTAAAAATTTGCAAGAGGATATAATATGAGTTCCCAGTAGACAATGTGTCAAGGAGACATTGGAGGCCATGGATGAAGTGTAGGGAAATGCTGGAAAGATCTGCCA